CTCTGAAGCAGTAAAAATAAACAAATTAAAAAGTAATATATAAAGTTAATAATGTTTTCATAGTCATTGGAAATGGAACCGGAAATTAAGAACAACAAAACTCTTCGCTAAAATAAAGGCACATAAGCAAAGATTATGATACTTTTTGGAAACCTACAAAGGTCGTATTTTCATGAGGAAAACTTAAATAAGAAATTGTTTAATTGAAATGTCCAAATAATACATTTTCCTCTTCTTTTCTTCCTTTCCCCCCACAGCTTACAATTTGTCTTAGACCTTTCAGAACATGTTTAACACTACAAGAAGTAAAATCATTAAACTCTTCACTGATCGCCTTTCCTCATTGTTTATTACAAGTTTTAACACACATGGGCATTCATGCAAACATATACCTCGATTTTTTTTTAAATCAAAAAAGAAATATGGCCAGCCTCTAGTGAGAGTAAGTTCATATTGGTGAATGTATGGCCTACATTGGAATAAAAATGCTTATGATTAAATATTGAAAATTTCCCCAAATGTAATATAATTCTCTGGTGACGACAACAAAAGGAAGAAACCACAAAAACATCAGTATCCTTAAGGAATCATCAGCTTCTTTTTGTTTGCTCCAGTTATAAATTTTGCATTTGCACATTGCTGCCTAGATTTTCAAAGGGTTCTGCAATGATTAATTTAACAATCTACCCATATTGCTGTAATATAACCAAAAACTTTTATATATATATAATTTATAATATCTGAATCAAGGATAAACTAGTGGCCAAAATAGAAGTTCCAACATCCAGGCATGTTATTAATGCAGAAATGGCCAAGTGTCACCAAAATATGGCTACTTAAAAAAAATACTCCTCAAGCTTGGGTGCTTTACCTCTAAAGATACACACATAACAGTGCATATTTATGACAGTCAATTTGACCTGATTATTTGACAGTAAAAAATGAATGTGTAAAAATTCTAATACTTACAAATATATATTGAATGCTTACTAAATAAATGGCAGGCCTTGTACTGAGTGCTTTGCATGAATTATTTCATGTAATTCCCACAATAACCCTCAAAGGTGCACATAATAATAGAGATTGGCACACTTTTTTGTACAGAGCTAGAAAAAAACATTTTAGACTTCATGGCCATGTAAGGTCTCAGTGTTGCATGACTCAACTCAGTTGTGGTAGGGAGAAAGAGGACATAGGCAACATGTAAAGGAATGGGCGTGGCTATATTTCAATAAAACGTTATTTACAAAAACAGGCAGCAGTCACACTCGGCCCACAAGCAATATCCTTTGCAGACCCCTGCAATTAAAATTCTCATTTTACCACTGTTAGTATGTAACATTCACATGCCCACACAGCTGGCCAGTGAACTCCGGTCTCTTATTGCAGAATCAAAGCTGCTAACTACTACATTTATCTGCTTCTTGCCAGCAATTTAAACAGCTATTCTATGGTAAAATAAAGACAAATATATTCCGGAGTAAAAGGTAAACTGATATGTTTATAAAAGACAAAACAAAATATTAGAACAAACCTTGCATTTACAATGCTAGTGATGCAAAATCTAGGAAATAAAAGTCTATGCTCCCCAAAACATCAAGATATCTGGTGAAATTTAGAGAATGCAGTCTATGCTTTAAAAATGAGCTTTCTTTAAAAGGTTATATACTTTTTAAAGCTCCATGGAATGTTTTAGGGTTCTTCTTCATATATAATGACATAGGATGAATGGCTAAAACCATGCACCAGGTGCTATACATTGCCATCAATGTCCATGCCCATTTGCAAACGTACAGTGTATGGCCAGACTGAGAATCATGGTTTTGCAAATGTACAGTGTTATGGCCAGACTAAGAATAATGATTTATGTTCAGGTCAAAATCCTGCCCAGGCAGGAAGACCCTGCGCTATTTAACAAAGTCCGATTTCACTTGGAATAAAATCCAGTACACAGTCCTGGTTACAGGTCCAGTATAATCTGATCCAGTCTAACATTTCAACCACTGCCCACTAAAGACCAGCTATAGTGTCCTTTTTTCTGTTCTTGAAGCACAGACAAGCTCATTTCAGCCACAGGTACTTCTTACCAGCTATTCTCTCTGCCTAGAATTCTATTTCCTTGAGTCAGACACCAGTCCAAATGTCAATCAGAGTTCATGCAAATATGATCTCTTAGAGGACTTCTCTGGACACCCAGTTACTCTGCCAACCATATCACTCTCAGTTATGTTTTGTTTGGCATTTATGTGATCTTTTTCTGGTTTATTATTATTTACTTTAAGTTATGTGCTATTATGTAGCATTTGTTAAACTGATTATCAATCTTCCTCAATATAATAAATCTATGCTGAAGAAGTATGGATGTCACGTTTATTTAGTTGCTGCTGGATTCCCAGAGCCTAGCAGCTGGCCTGGTGCTTAGAAACCACACAGTAAATATTTGTAAAATGAAGAAATGAATGACACATATCATTGTTCTGCAGGCTACACCATATTGCCATTTATGGTTTTATTCACTTTATTATGGTGAATCATGCACAGAAAAGAAAAAGTTGTTTAGAATCTCACAGAAATTGATTTAAAATTCACAGTGCCTTATTTTATTCAAAAAAGTACAAATATTATTTTTCTTTTTAGAACTGATAGTTGCTGCTGTCTAAAAATGGGGGAAAAACTATTGTTTATCTCTTCATAAAGTTTACTTAAAAAATAAATATGGCAGGCCAGGAGTGGTGGCTCACGCCTGTAATCCCAGAACTTTGGGAGGCCAAGGCGGGAGGATCATGAGGTGGGGAGATCGGGACCCCACCTCTACTAAAAATACAAAATTAGCCAGGCGTGGTGGTGCACACCTGTAATCCCAGCTACTCGGAAGGCTGAGGTAGGAGAATCACTTGAACCCAGGAGTCGGAGGTTGCAGTGAGCCAAGATTGAGCCACTACACACCAGCCTGGCGACAAAGCAAGACTCCGTTTCAAAAACAAATAAAAACAAAAACAAAAAATAAATAAATATGGCAAATAATTCTGCTGATTATTCATTTTGTCTTGTATTATTTTAATTATTTAAAATTTATGTATTTTTATCTTTAATTTATTTTGCATAATGTTACCCTATTCATCATGTAATTTTGTCAAAATGTTTCCCAGTTTAAAAATCATTTTATTTGACCTTAGTCAAGTCTAAAATGTCATCTATTATGCAATTGGGAACTATTTAATTCTTTTTTCTTAACTCTTTTCTAACTGAATTTCCTAACACTTAAGCTTTATTTTAATCCAACTTCTATGTTAGAATTTTTATCATTTATTACTTTTTTTGTATTTGTTATTATTTTTAAAATTTTATTGTAGGACAGCATAAAAAGTATAGATAAATGAAGATCATAGATAAGAAGAGCCAGGCTTACACAAGAAATGTTATGCTCCTGTTCATCTATGATTAATTTGCCTATTAGCCCCACAAGTCCTTAGAACTAAACCCTCTTATACCAAAATTCATGTTGTTGAAAGTCACCAAATTGGATAGTCACTGAAACTGATGTTCTCTTTCAGCATGTCAGCCTGTCACTATCCATATAACCATCAAGGGTTTTCTGGGTCAGTGTTCAACTTTCCTATGCTAAACCACTGATTTCCAATATGAAGGAATTTGTAACCTCAACCCTACCACCTCCTCCTCTGTAATCTCTGCTTATGAGCTATGCCATATGTCAGTACCTTTGCACAAGGCAAGAAAGGGGAAACACCACCTAGTTAAATCCACTGTGCTTCTTCCATTGAAAACCCTTCTTGAGAAGTATTTTATTTAAGAAATATAAATTCTGAATGTTATTATTTGATTAAATCAGGCATTTAGGAAAGCCGCTTATTTGTGCAACGCTATCTTTCTCCTTTTCAGAAAAGCCCTCCTAAATTACATTTTCAAAACCTCTTTCAACCTTCACTAAAGGTCACGGAATACGTTTGTGATATTTGCTATTTCACCGACATGTAGAACTGTCACTGTGAACAATTCCCAGAACATTATTCAATGACCCCCAAACAATGCATTACATGAGATAACAACTGTCAGTTATGATATATCTGTTAACTCCTTAAGATGATTTCCTCTCCCCTTTGGCTGCTGGCAGTCTGCATGCTGGGATAAAGAAGAGAAAACTATCTTTTATTGGGAATCCATAATGTGTCCAGTGCTTTATCCATATAATCATATTTAATTTTCTTATTACACTTTTGGTAGGGTAGAGGGGAGGCAAAATCTTTACCTTTACCTGTTTAGGGTATCCAGCTGGGTCTGAGAGTTAGATTGACATAAGACAGATTAACAGGAGAAAAGCATACAAATTTATGTAATATAAGAGCCTTCATAAGGAAATGTTGACTCAAAGAAGTAGCAAAACCTGAATGCTTATATGCTGGAGAATCACAAGTATGGAAAAGTAACTAAAACAAATGAGACACTAAAGGAAGAGTAGAGTTATTTTTAACAAGGTCTGTTTGTACAGAATTCTCTAGTCCCATCTCTGGTGATAGGACATTTCTTTCCTCCTGGTATAAGGAGGGCAGCCCTTACATAGGTGTTACATCTGCTTTCAGGAAGAAAAAGGGGGGATGACAGTGTCCTTCTTGTGCCTGTTTTTCAAGTGCCTTTTACTGAAAACTCAAAACCAGCAATATGCCAACGTGGCCAATTTTGGGGTGACACATCGTGAACCCCATCAAGGGGTTATTATCCTCTAATTACTAATGAAGAAACTGAAACAGACATTAAGTGATTTTCCAAAATCACTTAGGCAAACAAGTGAAGGACTGGAACACTGGTCTACATCTGTCTGTCTGTCCACCCTCAAAAACACTGCTCAAAGTCAAAAAAACAAAAAAAACAAAAAAACTTTAAAGTCGGATTTTACTCTCAGACATGGAAAATATACCAATGATTACAGTTAACATATGTCTAGACTTCTAAAATCTTATTTTCTAATGTTTGCTCTCCAGGACTTTTTTTTTTTTTTTTTTTTTTTTTTTTGCTTTTTTGCTTTCTTTTGTTATTTTGCTTGTTATTGATATATTGGTGAAGTTAATAAAGCTTTGGATGTTGTCACAAGCAGCTCATGGACTTTACGGCAATCCTCTTAAACTTGCCTTTTCTAGAGCCCACTTATTCACAAATGTTCTCTTTTCATTTATACCTTCATAAAGTGTTTCACTGTTGATACTGTTGGTTGCTAATGGTCCAACCTACTTTGGAAAGAATGGCAGTATTAGAACATTTTAGTGCAGATGTTAGAGATTGTAAACATACAAATTGTTCACAACAGTCTCGTATAGCTCAAATTTGGCACTCAGACTTGTTACTAACATAAAAATGTGATTGAAATTTATTGACAGCCAGTTTACAAGAGGGATAAATGAGGAAGAAAGAGTAAAAGGGTACTCAAATAAATATATAAATGTGAGCAAATAATGCAATAGGCACAGAAATATGTGAAAATGTCAAGAAAATAATGGATTACACAAAAATTAGTATTGCTCTAAAGTATAAAGTCTTCTCAAAATAATCTTACTTTTCCAACTATTATGATGTCACATGTCTGTCCATTGGTTCAAATTTTGAGATTTTCCCTAGAGCAATAGCAATACTAAGTCATCATCATCCAAGGATACTACCCCTTGACCTTTGATATAACATGTTAGTCAGTGAATTATTTCAAGAATCCTTTGTTTTACAGACACCTGTTAGTCTTTGGCAATAGTTTTACAATAAACCGAAAAGTATCTCTTTTAAAGTTGAAAGAGTACTAAGTAGTTGAAGACAAATATGTTCTTGTGAATAAAATTTTGTCCATGTTCATAAACAAAAGGTCTACATTGGTTTCTCATAATCCATAAACACTACATAATTCGAAAAGACCTCTTTGAAAGTTGATGATCTTATTACAACAGGAAAAAGAATAACATTTTTGAGAAATTGGGAGTGGCATATATATTTCTAATGTGACTTTTGAGAGACAAGGTTTGAATATGGCCCAGGAACTTCAGAGGTACAGTCATCACAATGGCTGGCAGAAACAAAATATCATAGCTGTCTGAAGCTCCAAGGCTTGGGGTAACACCTGTGCCTGCAGGTGGCTCTATCTGAAAAGAACTGCACCACTTTCCTCTTCAACGGTGGGCACCATGTTCCACAGTGGGTCAGAGGTGACCAGGGTGCTTTCAAGTTTAGTTTTATAATTTTGAAGAACTGGATCGTGAGCACTGACAAGTTCCCAATTTAGCCTGTTAAAAACATAAAAGTGGTTGGCTTTCCCTCCTTTCACATAAACCTTCATTCACTAACTACAGCAGGAGATTTAATCTAGTGACCTTCTTTTGAAATCCAATTTAAATTAAATGATTGATTTTAAGACTTTGCCAGACATATACTGAGGTTTCAAAAAAAAAAATTAATCTCTATAGTACTCTCAATGGAGATTAAATCAGGTTACAAAAAAAAAAAAATTGTCACTAAAGAGTGATTTTTTTTCCCTGCTACCTTGTATACAAATTATTTATAGGAGTCTAGAAGACAGAACAGCACCAAATCTAAAGACACTGAAAGTATTTTGACACAATTGCACTTTTCAAGTACAAAATAGCAAACAAGGATGTGATGGATGTATTCCTATACTGGGCAATGGCTAAGAAATTTCTGACTAAAATATAATATGAAAAGTCAGAACTCATCTGGTATAGTACATTCAGTTCAGTATTCCACATTTAAGAGGGATATAGACAAATTCAGGTTTGTTAATAAATAAGAATTCAAAACCAAGTAATGCAATAGGAAAAACAATTGGGGGAAAATGGAAATACACACTCTGGAAATAGAAGAAGCCCCAGGGTATAATACTCAAAGGCACACTATGTGGAAAAGTTATTGGATCTGCTTTGTGAGCTTCCATGGGTTACAAATTGGCAGACAGATTCTAAACCCAATATAAAAAAGAATTTTCTAATGGAGAGACCTGTCCAAATATGAAATGAGCTATCTTACAAGATCAGTTTCATCTTCTGAAGACATTCAAGGGAAAAGTGAGTTACGGATTCTAAAGAAAAGACTAAAGATTAAACTATAATATTGAGGTCCTTTCCAAGTCTAGAGTCTGAATTTTTTAGGATGAGAATTGTCTATAATTAGACAGCTCTCAAATTGATAAAGAGGGCATGTCAAAGTAAAATACTAGTATATAATGAATAGCATTAGTTAGTAGAAGAAATAACTGTAACTAAGACATAGTTTACAAATGCTTTTTTGATGAAGAGTCAGGGAATATCCAAACATAAGCAACATGACAAGTTTTTGAATTGTGAAAAACAGGAAATATTGAAGAAACACAAGAAAAACCTCAAGAGAGATCATATTGGGAAAAAAAAGTATTTTTAACATCATGCCTAGTAAAAGTAAATACTATTACTAATCTCACTAATATGCATTAATCAGTACTAATTTAGCAGTGGTGGGAAGAAACAAACACTAGTTTAAGAATGCAAAATTTCTAATTATAGGAATATTAGAATGTATAAGACATTTACTTTATCAAGATTACGTATCTACTAAGATCATGCCACTCTTATAGTATTAAATCCATGCTTGTTTAAAAAGAAAAGAAAAAAAAAACCTTAAAGAAGCACTCTGGTTCCTCATATTGCCTCTTTCTGCTGGCTTTATTCTGTGTTTGACTTGAACGTTTCATCACATCCTTTCCAGATTTCCATTTGATTTCGGTGGACTTTGAAGATACATCACCACTCTCATTGGGATGAAATTCTTTGGGAAGAATTTTATTTTCAAAGTAAGGATTTTCATCAAAATAAAAATCTATTCTGTAACCTGTTTCAGTATCTTCAAATTCTGTCACTTCAACTCTGGTCAAATAATGTAGTGCCTCTTTGTCCTCCTCCCCAAGCAGTGCGAACACTTGGCGGATGGTTGACAAATGTTGTTACCCCCAAATTTGGGATTTTGGCGATCAATTCTGACCTCTTCTGAAAAAGTGGATAGTGGAGTTTGTTACATTTCTATTCTACTTCCAAAATCTCCTCACTGGCTTGTTCATTAAGTCTCTTTCATTTTGTACTTCATCAATGTGTTCAATTGCTTCTTGCTGGGTTTTTTTGTCCCTTCGTCAGCAAGCCTGCAGAAGCACATGTCTCCTTCGGTCCCGCAGCAGGAGGTGGTCCAGAGAGCTTCTTTACCTGATTTACTGACCATTCTGATGCACATAGTGTGGGTGAGTTAGGATAGTTCATCAAAGATGGTATCTGGCCAAACCCATTACAGTACTACTTGGTTCCTGATATGGATGATGAAGAAGGAGAAGGAGAAAAAGATGATGATGATGATGATGATGATGACGATGGTGATGCAAAGGAGGAAGGATTAGAAGATATTGATGAAGTAGGGGATGAGCATAAAGGTGAAGAAGATGAAGATGATGAAAGGGAAGAAGGAGAGAAGGATGAAGGAGAAGATGACTAATGGAACACTGATGGATTCCAACCTTCCTATTTTAAAATGTTCTCCAGTCCCTGGGAGCAAGCTGCAGTCTTATTTTTCTCTCTCAATCTCTCTTTTTTTTTTTTTTCCCTTGTCCTCAGTCACCCTGTTCTTGAGGACTCTTTTCTCTACACCATGTTTCTCAACTTATTTTGGGGAAAATACCTTGAGCGAAATACAATGGGAAGAGTCTCTACCCCTTTCTGTTCAAAATTCATTTTTATCCCTTCCTGTCTGAACAAAAACTGTATGGAATCAACACCACCAAGCTCTGTGGGAAAAAAGAAAAAACCTGCTCCCTTCACACTACTGGAAGCTGGAGGGTGCTAAGCCCCTGGGTAGTAGTGCATAGAATTCTAGCTTTTGTCCTCCTTTCTCTGTATATTGCAATCAGAGACTACACTGTGTTTCTATGTGAATATGGACAGTTAGCATATACCAATATGTATCTGTCTACTTTCTCTTGTTTAAAAAAAGAAAAAAAAACTTGAAAAATGGGTTTCTAGAAGGTCAGCAAGGGGTGAGTTTGAGATGTCTCGGTGGGTTAAGTGGGCATTTTGACAATATGGCTTTTCCTTTGGCATGTTTAATTGTGATATCTGACAGACATCCTTGTAGTTTAAGATGACACTTTTAAAATAAATTCTCTCCTAATGATGACTTGAGCCCTGCCACTCAATGGGAGAATGAGCAGAACCTGTAGGATCTTATTTGGTATTGACATTCTCTATTGTAATTTTCTTCTTGTTTATTTTTAAATTTTCTCTTTGTTTCACTGGAAAGGAAAGATGGTGCTCAGTTTTAAACATTGAAAGTGTACAAGTTGCTTTGTTAGAATAAAACTAAATGTGTACACACACACACACACAAAACCCTTAAAACTACTGATTGCATTCACAAACTCTGGAACAAAATCTGAGTTACCGTTTTTGTTTTTTTAGAGTTAGGGTCTGGCTCTGTTGTCCAATGGTGTAATCATGGCTCACTGCAGCCTGAAACTCTTGGGCTCAAGTGATCCTCCTGCCTCAGCCTCCCAAGTAGTTGGGACTACAGGTGCACACCACCACTCTTGGTTCACAATTACTTTTAAAGCATCGATCTCATCTAATATTATTAGATCAACAATTTTTAAAATTCTTTCTCTATAAATTTAGTGTGTGTCCCCTATAGCTCAATCTAATCTAAGGGGGAAAAAAAACCCTATCATAATTTCTGAACTGTGAAATTGAAGATTAGTTCTGAATCAAAATATTCTTAATTGGCATTGATGTTCTAAGTGATTGCATAAGCAGCAGATGTCCCTGGTTTGACTAAATTAAAATACAAGTTGCTTTTTAAGAATCTATTTGAGGCCAGACATGGTGGCTCATGCCTGCAATCCCAACACTGTGGGAGGCCAAGGCGGGGCCTGGGGTGGGGAGTATTGCTTGAGCCCAGGAATTCGAGACTTCTTTTCTACAAAAAAATGAGGAAAATCGGCGCCATGGCTCACGCCCATAATCCCAGCACTTTGGGAGGCCGAGGCGGGCAGATCACAAGGTCAAGAGATCCAGACCAGCCTGGCCAACATGGTGAAAACCCTTCTCTACTAAAGATACAAAAAATTAGCCAGGCATGGTGGCGCATGCCTGTAATCCCAGCTACTTGGGGGGCTGAGGCAGGAGAATCGCTTGAACCAAGGAGGTGGAGGTTGCAGTGAGCCAAGATCGCACCATTGCACTCCGGCCTGGAAGACAGGGTAACGTTCCATCTCAATAAATTAATAAATAAGGAAAATTAGCTAGGTGTGATGGCATGTGCCTGTGTTCCTGCTACTTGGGAGTCTGAGGTGGGAGAACCATTTGAGCCCAGGGCCCAGGAGCTCAAGGCTACAGTGAGCTGTACTCCAGTACAGGTTACAGAATGAGATTTTTTTCTCAAAAAAAAAAAAAAAAGTTTTTGTTTTGTTTTAAAAATACTCTATTTGAAAACGTATTAGCTATGTCAATAGGTTTTTGAAAACGAAGACTACTGCCAAATGCTGTCAAGAGGGAATACTTAAATCATTATTAACCTTGGGTATATTTTCTTCCAGCTGCTTTAGAATTTGTATGCCAAACCTAAATTCTTAACCTTTTGATCTTGAGAAAGCTGTAGATGTATATGCAGTTATGAGAAATGATACAGAGGGGTACTGTGTTCACTTTACCCATTTTCCCTAAATAACATCTGGAAAACTATGGTACAATACCACAGCCAGGATATTGGCACCAATACAGCCAAGATACAGAACAATTGTATCACTAGAAGGAATCCTCTTCTTGTCCTTAAGCACTCCTGTTTTCTCACCACTACCCTTAACCCTGGAAAACACTAATTTTTTCTCTATTTCTTTGTCACTACAAGAATGATATACAAATGGGATTAAACAAAATGGAATATGTCCCTTTGGGGACGAGCTTTTGCTACTCCACATAATCCTCTGGAGATTCATTCAAGCTGTGTGTCTACTCATTTTTATTGCTGAGTAGCACTCCATGATATGGATGTACTACACTCTGTTTAATACACTGAAGAACAAGTGGGTTGTTTTCAGGTACTGGCTATGATGAATAAAGTTGCAATGAACATTTAAGTGTATGTTTTTGTGTGAAAAAAGTTTTAATTTATTTGGAATACATACTCAGCAGTGCAACTGCTTGCTGGCATGCACGACAGTTGCATATGTAGTTTTACAAGAAACTACTACACTGTTTTGCAGAGTGAGTATAGTATTTTACACGCACGCCAAGAATGATCCAGTCTTCTTGAATCCTCCCCCAGCATTTGGTGTAGTTACTATTTTAAGTTTAGCAGTCTGATAGATACGTAGTGATATCTCATTGTAGTCGTAATATCCATTTCCCTAATGATGTCGAATATATTTCCATCTGCTTATTGGCCATCTATCTATATATTCCGTTTACTCACCATTTTATGATTATTTTAACTGTGGCGTTTTGACACATTTATATATTGTGGATTTGAGACCTCTTTGGGTACGCGCTTTGCAAACATTTTCTCTGAGTTTGTGCTTCTTGTCATTTCATCACCTTAACAATAACTTTAATCACAATCTTGAAGTAGTCCAATTTATCAATTTTTCCTTGTATTGACAGTATTCTTATGTCAAGTCTAAGAACTCTTTGACTAATCCTACGGCTGAAGATTTTCTCCAGTTTTATTTTTCTAAAATTTTTCCAATTTCACATTTTACGTGTTAATCCATAATCTATTTTAGTAAACTTTTGCATAAGGTAAAAAATTTAGGTTGAAGCTTATTTCTATGGATGTCCAACAGGTCTGGTATCATTTGTTGAAAAGTCTATCATTCCTCCACTGAAATGCTTTCGTACTTTTGTCAAAAATTAGTCATGGACATTTGTGTATGTCTATTTCTGGGTTGTCTATTCTGTTCCATCAATTTGTCTATCCTTTCACTGATACCATACAGTCTTGATTACTGTAACTATATGAGACTAAAAATTGGGGAGACTGATTCCTCCCACTTTATTCCACTTACACGAGATTGTTTTAAGTGGTCTAATGTCTGTCTTACCATACAATTTTGAAATAATCTCTATGGCTACATCTATAAAAATGTCTTTCAAGATTTTGATAGGAATTGTCTTAAACAGCTTTTGATTTGGAGAAAAATGACATCTTTATTACTTTGAGTTGTCCAATCTATGAACACAATATGCATCTCCATTTACTTAAAATTTTCTCCTTTCATTAGTGTTTTATAGTTTTCATTATACATTCCCGTACATATTTTATTGGATTTACATCTTACTACTTCTTTTAAGACAGAAAAAACATGAAGAGAGGGATGCAGGAAGGGAAAGAGAGAAGGAGGGAGAGAACAAGTGTTTATAAATAGTATATTTTTTAATTTTAATAACCACTTGTTAATTACTAGTATATAGAAATACAATTCAATTGCTTTTTAAATAGTTTTCTGGTGTACTGCAACCTTGCTCATCTCATTTATTAAATTCTAAAGGGGTTTTGTTTAGATTCCTTGGTCTTTTCTATATTCTCTATATACAATCATGTCAACTAAAAAGAGAAAGTTTTATTCATCCATTTTGATCTCTATGTCTTATTTCCTTTTCTTTTTATTTATTTTTGGCTTTATTTCATTAGCCAGAATTCCCAGCACTGTGTTAAATAAGAATGGTGATAGTGCACATCTTTGTCTTGTTCCCAAAGTTAGAAAGAATTTAGACTTTAGCCACTAAGTATATTGTTACATTTCAGTTTTTAATAGATCTTCTTTATTAAGACTTGATAGTTCCTTGCTGTTCCTATTACCCTGAATCATTTTATTTCAAATGGGTGTTTAATTTGGCAAAATACTTTCTTTTTTCTTTCTTTTTTTTTTTTTGAGACGGAGTCTGGCTCTGTGGCCCAGGCTGGGGTGAGAGGCGCCATCTTGGCTCCCTGCAAGCTCCGCCCCCCGGGTTCCCGCCATTCTCCTGCCTCAGCCTCCCGAGTAGCTGGGACCACAGGAGCCGCCACCACGCCCGGCTAGTTTTTTGTATTTTTAGTAGAGACGGGGTTTCACCATGTTAGCCAGGACGGTCTTGATCTCCTGACCTCGGGATCCGCCCGCATCGGCCTCCCAAAGTGCTGGGATTACAGGCGCGAGCCACCGAGCCCAGCCTAATTTGGCAAAATACTTTCTCTGCATCAACTATTATGATAATTTTTTTCTTCTTTAACTTATTACTATGTTGGGATTTTAAATACAAAACAAGCTTAACATTTCTAGAATAAACCTTACTTGTTTATAGTATATAATTTTTATATATTGCTGAATTGTATTTGAAATATCTTAAGAATTTTGCCTCTAATTCATGAGGAATATTGACCTGTAGTTATCTTCTTATTACTTCCTTTATCTAGTTCTAATATTAGGGCAATACTGGCTTCATGAATTGGGTAGTGTTCCTTCTTTTTCTCTTTTCTGGAAGAAACTGTATTAAATTAGTGTGAATTCTTCTTCAAATGTTTCAGAAAATTGTCCATTGAAAATACTTGTACATGTAGGTTTTCCTATGCTACATGCTTTTAAATTACAAATTAAATTTTATTAATAGTTACAGGGTAATTATAATATTTCAGATTCGGTGAGTTGTGGTAGTGTTTTTTAAGAAATAGATCCATTTCATCTAAATTACCAAATGTACGTATGTAGAGTTATTCCTAGTATTCTTTTACTATTATTTTGATGTCTGCACAGTGACATAAGTTAACAATTAAAGAGAAGGAAACTTTATTGTATTTAGCCATATTTTTACTCTTTTCATTTTTCCTTTTCTATTTCATGGAATTTCAATTAACCATTCTAGGATAAGTGTGCTGGAAATAATTTATTTTAGTTTTCGTTCATCTTAGAATGTCTTAATTTGCCCATCATTCTAGAATATCTTTACTGTTTTCTAATTAATAAACTTGTAAGAAATATCTTAATGCACAAAGTATTTTTAACTTATAGTAGGCCTACAGCCTTAGAATAAATTACCTTATATTTAATAATTCAATGATCACGCTCTAGGACTTATTAACATAAGTACTCTCAAACTGTTTTCCAAAAAGCTTGCAGATAATTAGACACCATGAAAAAAAACTAAAGATGTGATCCCTAGTTGACCTCAGAAAACTCAACTCCACACTCCATGATTCTACATGATTCCATTGAAGAGGATCATTTATCATGTTAATTTTTAGGCAGGACAAAGAGGAATCAACTTTGAATGGCAGTGAGAAGTTTCTTTCGCCTTTGACATTCTAAATCAGGACCTGTTTCCTCACATTCCAGTTCACCTTGGCATTTTTGCTTCACTTTTCTCTCACAGATCAGAAATTTCATTGAGGATGCATATCCTATCCTGAATCTCCCTTTGTATTAAGAGGTTAGAAATGAATTTAGACCACCTCTCATATTACACATGTAGAGTAAGTCCTTGAAAAAG